TGAATTAATCCAACCTCGGTTCTTGGCACCAGAAGAAGCAACTCAGATCTACATAAGCGGCGACGGCTACTTCAATCTCCAGCAACAGGACCTGCTTCTCCCCTTCGTCTCGGACTCCATCTCGTCCTCCACATCCTTGGCATGGGCGGGTCGTCGGCTCCAAAGGTGGTATGCCGCATACAACTCCCCTCCCCCCCTCTGTTAGGTTGTTCGGTAGGGTGTAGGGTCGATTTTGCCAGTACATACAACAACATCGATTTCGACATTAGGTCGTTATGGACAAATGGATGAAATTGGTTGTTCAGGCGGCAACACTCATAGTTGTGCTTCGGGCTTGAGGAATGTTGGTCCACAAGAGAGTTGTTCATCAGAATGATAAGCATGTGATTCATTATGGTCCGTTGTTAACTAGAGATAGAGAGAGGATGGTGAATCTAAACTAACATCTACAACATGAACGCTGTAGAGTCTGTGATATGCATCGAATGCGAGGAGAACCTTTTTCCAAGGTTGTTGAGACATTTAGTGCCAAGGGGATGCTAGAAGATAGCACCCACACCTCTATGGAAGAGCAAGTTGCCATGTTCCATCATGTCGTCTATTCACAACACATTCAAGAGATCCACTGAAACAATTTGCAGGTATTTCAAGAAATGCATGTGTATGATTGGGGAACTCAGAGGAGAGATAATCAAACCACCAACCGGGCACTAACGGAGTTGATTCCGGCGAATCTTGGGTAGGGTGTCCCAAGCTAGTACCTAGATGCGATGGTAACAAGGACACGAGGTTTATACAGGTTCGGGCTCTCTCGAAGAGATAATACCTACGTCTTGGTTGTGCTTGTGTTGATTTGGGATGGCATACAAAGTACAGTGTTTCTCAAGAGGGTCGATTGCTTCATCTGCATAGTGGTTAATCCTCACATGTTCAAGAAAGCCAATAGGAATCTTATATGGTTTTTCAGAAGGTGGAGGTTCTCTCCTAGCCACATAGGTGACATAGACGACCCCTCCTAAAAGGTCAATAGCATCAAACATATCCATAATGGATCAAAGTAGCAAACGAAAGTAGAAAAACAGCAAGCACAATAAATGTTTCTCTTACCAAGGGCGTTACACTCCATGACAATGGAGCTAGAAAAGAGTCTCGATAACCCATAAGTGTAGGTTATTGTAGCCTTTTGATAAGTATGAGTGTCAAAACCAATGAGGAGGGGAAGGCAATGGTCGGTGGAAACTAGCAAGAGTTCACCGTAAGGATGCAAAGTGTTTGATGCACTACAAAAAAAAGACACATCCGTGACATTTTGGGCCGAACAAAATTTTTTTCTGTCATACTTATGACACTTCTATGACGATAATTGTGACAAAACCCGGTATCATCATAGATGTGGTGGGCTCCTACTTCTATGACAAAAAATCATGACAGAAAATGGGCTTTTCGTCTTGGGCGGGCCGGAGGCGGAGCTGCATGAAATTCTTTGGGTTGTCCATGACGGAAAAAACCGTGGTAGAAGCGAGGGCGAGGAAAATTTCGGCGAGTTCCCGGTTACGGTGGGTGGTCGGGGGCCGAGCGATGCGCGTTTCTCTCGTACACGTACGCGCGTGTGAGTGAGGCGTTGGGCTCTAACTGAACCCGAGTGAGGCGTTCGCCTATATTGAACCCGAGCGATTGCACTGCAGGGTACACATTACTGAACCCGAGCGATCGATCGATGGCTGTTAACTGAACCCGATCGAGCGATTCCTTCGCTATTGCTGCTAACTGAAACCGATCGATGCTGCCTCTGGATGAACAGTGAGTATTGCTGGGGGGGTTGGATGAACAGTTTCCGGTGGGGGTGGATGAACATTACCCTATGGTGTTGCCTGTGGATGAACAGGACCCCGGTCGATCGAGCCGGTTGGGGCTGGATGAACAGGACCCCGTGGAGGGCTGGATGAACAGGACGACCCCGTGGAGGGCTGGATGAACAGTAGATGGTGGAGGGATGGATGAACAGTAGATGGTGGAGGGCTGGATGAATAGGAGCCCGTGGAGAGGGCTGGTTGAACAAAGCCAGTGGAGTAGCGCGCGATGGAGGCTGGATGAACAGGAGCCCGTGGATGAACAGTCGCAGGTGGAGGCTGGAGGAGGTCGACGGTGGAGATGAACACTATCCGTGGAGTCCCGTTTTGCGGTACGCCACACCCCTCCCGATGAACAGGACCCCGTTTCGACCGTAGCGCTCCAACACAAGTCTGTCTCCTCCGTTTTGCGGTACGCCACACCCCTCCCGATCAACAGGACCCCGTTTCGACCGTAGGAGGTCCAACACATGTCTGTTTCCTCCGTTTTGCGGTACGCCAGACCCCTCCCAATGAACAGGATCCCGTTTTGAACATGGCCAGTCGAAGACAAGGCCGTTTCCTCCGTTCTGCGGTACGCCAGGCCTCGTTTCCATCGGTTGTTCCGTCCAAGCCCTCCCAATGAACACGATGACGCATTCCGTTCCGACCCAGCCGTTTGGCTCCCCATGAACATGACGACGATGCAGTTTCTTCGTTCTGACCCAGCCATGTACTTGAGCCCTGGCCGTACATATGCGCGAGTAGGCGTTCGAGACCCCACCCATATGTACGTACGTGGCCGTATTTTCTTTCTTGCACAGTAGTCGCTGTACGTACGTGTACATGCTACGTGCGCGCCTCTCCTACGACACGTGCGCGCCTCTACATCGACCAGTATGTACGTACACGTTCGCGACCAGACTGACAACGCTACGTACGCTTCGACCAGGTGGGTCCCGACTATCAGGCACTTCATTGCGTGTGAAGATGTAGCTGGTGGGTCCTGGCAGTCAAGAGGCGAATCATTTTTTCTTTTTTGCCCGGACGCACTTGCTTGCGTGCAAAGATGTAGCTGGTGGGTCCCAGCAGTCAGGGGGAAATGTTTTTCCGTGAAATACAATGGCCTGTCCGGTGGGTCCCCGCTATCAGGTGGAGGAATAATTATTTTGCGCGTAGTAAGGAGGCACTTCCTTGCGGCCGTCGTGGACCTAGCTATCAGCCTCTCCACGTACAGTACTCTTCCGATGGAAGTCGTTCCTTGACCATGTTGACCACGCCGTGCCGACAGCACCAGGGCGGTGGACGACGGTGAGGCCTATGAAGGGGACAACGCAAAGCCATGGAAGACGCGGCAGTGGAAGCCCGCGCGGAGAGGAGTACGATGGTTCACTGGTTCGGCTGTGGTGTGAGGCTGCTGTCGCCGTAGGGCCTGGCCAGCGGTGAGAATAGTAGGGGGTGGTGAGGCCTCTGCGGCAGCACAACCGGCCACTGAAGGCAGGAGCATGCGGCACGACCGGCGCTGCTTTGGGCGGCTGGAACACGAAGACCAGAGGTTAAAGAAGCACTACGGCCGTTGGATGGACATCGTACGGTCACTGGAGCTAGAATCGTTCATATTGACAAAGTTGACAAAGCCCATTGTCGGTGTCAAAACCGGCGGATCTCGGGTAGGGGGTCCCGAACTGTGCGTCTAGGCCGATGGTAACAGGAGACAAGGGACATAATGTTTTACCCAGGTTTGGGCCCTCTTGATGGAGGTAAAACCCTATGTCCTGCTTGATTGATATTGATGATGTGGGTATTACAAGAGTAGATCTACCAGGAGATCAAGGAGCCTAAACCCTAGAAGCTAGCCTACGGTATGATTGTAGTTCGTCCTATGGACTAAAGCCATCCGGTTTATATAGACACCGGAGAGGGCTAGGGTTACACAGAGTCGGTTACAATGGTAGGAGATCTACATATCCGTATCGCCAAGCTTGCCTTCCACGCCAAGGGAAGTCCCATCCGGACATGGGACGAAGTCTTCAATCTTGTATCTTCATAGTCTTGGAGTCCGGCCGATGATGATAGTTCGGC